AACTGTAGGCAGGCTTTTTTTTACCGTTACCTACTGCGACTGTTCTATGTCCGGATGTTTCCGTTGTTCTAGCAAGAGCTTGTTCGATAAGCTTGAAGAAGATTATGGGTTGAAATGTTTATCTGGCGATGAATTGATCGGTGAAGAAATAAAATGCTTAGATTTACAGTTTCACTATAAAAGAAAGTGACAAAGCTTAGATTTTACTGAAGTAATAGACTTTCTAATTCGCAAAAATCCATCATTCGATCTAGTGTTAGGACAAGAATGGTTATGGATGCATAAAGCAAAATAAGCTTTGAACATTCTCCCAAAACCTATGTCCAAATTGTAATAGATGGCATGAGTATCCCATTAATCGAAGAAGATAGCAGGCCCATGGGTGACTCTTCAAGTCATAAAGCCAGCTCCACTAAAAATAACTTATCTAAAAATCAACGGAATATAAACCTGATCTAACTCAAGAGGAGGTTATGAATATAGCAGAGCTAGTGTCAAGACACTTAATTAACAAAATTCTCTCAAATACCCGAAGGGTCATTGCTTTGCAATAATAAACAACAAATATTTTGCAACATACCTCCTGCACATCCACCATCCAGAAGATTAAATAACGATGTTTCCAAAAATAAGAGCAAGAAAAATAAGGTCAAATATTCCATGGATACTTCTTCCAATTCAGATACTTTGGACAGTAATTCAGGTAATCCAGTTCGGGAATAGAAGTTATACATATAAAACGCCCCATTCTAAAGCGTAAAGTAAAAGGTAAAGTTAAATATCGAGCTTTATAATGGAGCTAGTATCTCTGACACAAATAATAAAATTGTAAATGGATCTTCACTACCCGAAAGATCAATAACGCCAGATGCTAGAGGAGCTTCTGGTCTAATTGATGCCAAATCCAAACGTTCCAAATGGCGGATAACTTCGGCATATGCAAGCATGATAGTATCTGAGCAACTATTTTATTATGCGTTATGTATATTTCCGCGGTAAATCTTAGCTAAAATCATATATAACATACTAGTTCACTAAATGCTAATGAAGATTCTACCTGATTAAAATTGGAAATACAAGCAAGGTTCAATTTGTTTTTGAATCGTGATCACTAGAGAATTCCTTGTAGGTTTAGCACGAATCCATCAAGAACACGTGATGTCAAGCTAGGTGGATTTGTGTACTCCAACCAAGTGATATTATTGCGTTGAACTCTATAGATCCTTGCTGTTCCATTAATTGGATTGATAGAGAAAGCCTCCTAGATAAATAAAACATTTAATAATTAATAACAAATATAATCAACGAATAACAATCACTATTAACGAATAACAATCATCATCATCATTAATACCTCAACACCTGCATCCATATACAAACACATTTTTCGGTGAACAGCTTCCGCAGAATCTCTATTTGAACGTATTTCTGCAATAAAATTTGGAGCGACCGGCGGATACGCCTCTTTTTGGTCGTTTTGCGATAATCTATTCCAACTGCAATAATAAAAAAGTTAAGAATGACGCAGACATGTAAACCATTT